TAGCCTTGTAGGGTGCACTTAAAGAATGTTAAGGTGCCCCGTATATGAAAACCTGACAGACAAACCCTAAACCCTCAACCCGAAACCCGAAACCCTAAACCCATAACCCTAAACTCGAAGCCCCTAAACCCCCTAGAGCCTATATGCTATGGTCTTTAGGCCTAAAAGCCTTCACATAGGAGCCCATGGAGCCTTTGGGATTGTGATACGTAACATTTAAGCAAAATTAAGTGGTCTTTTTCCGTGTGCACGCACGTTGCCCTAAGGGTCCAAGTGCCAACTAATCGTAAACTCTCCCAAAAAATTAACCTGCATAACTGTAATGAACCCTAAACCCTAAACCCCTAAACCCTAAACCCTAAACCCTAAACCCCTAAACCCTAAACCCTAAACCCTAAACCCTAAAACATGTAGGCTCTGGGCTCCTTCCTTTGGACCAGTTCGTTCCCAGTCATGGGGTCCAGGTAAGTCTTTTGGTGCAATACAGGGGTTTAGGGTTTAGGGTTTAGGGTTTAGGGTTTAGGGTTTAGGGTTTAGGGTTTAGGGCTAGTAGTACGTAGAGTAGGTAAGCTTTAACGTCCTTCGGGCACTAAAGTCACACCCCTTTTCTCAAAGATTAACCTGCAGTTCCGTTAGAATACAGGAGAAGTGGGAATATATCCAGTTTAGAGAACTGAAATGTTGTTCGTTTTTCGATTTGCGAAGTCGGCAACTAACTAAGGGGAGCCTCCTAAGCCGCCCAAGCGTTGACTGACAATCCTCAACTCTGCCCATGGAATAATGCTAAGGTCCACAGCCCAAGTGTTTTCAAGGGTCCCTAAACCCTAAACCGTCCTGGCCGCATTTTCGTAGTTTGTGCCTTCTTGGCTGTTGTTTCGTTTAGAGGGGTCTGGCTCAAGACAGCCAACAAGTCCTGTGCAATATGATCTTGGTGTCAAACGTGAGGATAAGTCCACAGAGTCTGAGGTATAGCTCCAACTCCACAACGACTACCGTGAAACCTAAAGCCCAAAAGCTACATCCCAAATCCATTATGTAGGTATGGACATATCTATATGTAGTTATGTGCGTGTGCACATATACATAGATGCATATATATATATATGTATATCTATACATACATATATATATATATATATGTTCATATGTATGTACATGCAGCGGCTTTCAACTTCAACCATCAAACCTCATGCCCACCTGACTCATCGAGGACGCTTAGCGAGAATATCTCTGCTATCTCCTCCGGCTGGAACTCGAAGACGGCACAGATGTTGGACTGAGTTCCGTGAGAGAGGGGCCTGAATAATAGTTAATAGTAGTTAGGACTTAGGGTTTCCTGTGCTGTAGCTGCAGAAGAAGATCCTGCTGAAAATCCGAATCTGATTCTTCTTCAGGCCTCTACTTGGAGGATCATGGGACTTAGTAACTAGGGTTCTAAATAAGGTAACTAGACTTATAATTACTTATAACCCCAATTACGGTACTTATAACCTTAGTTACTAAGTCCCAAGATCCTCCAAGTATACTACGAGCCAGGGAGCCCCTCGTCCCCTCTAGTGCAGAAGAGTAAGAAAGAGAGAGCCCGTTTTGCAGGAAGCTACTGGGTTTAGGGTTTAGGGTTTAGGGTTTAGGGTTTAGGGCTACTGGGGATGCCACGCAGAGAACGTCAAACTTGTTCATATTCTGTCTTGCTTGAAAAATGTATATAAGCCCGGAAGCCTACCTCTAAGCCCTATATTATAAGCCCTCATCCCTCAAGTCCCTAAACCCTAACCCTAACTAAGCCCCAAAGCCCTTAACCGTCACACCCTAAACACCAAATCTGAAAGGCTCGGGCTTGGTTCTGTAAGGAGACCCTTAACCCTAACCCCTAAACCCTGATCCCTGAACTCCCTAAACCCCAAACCTATCCCCAACTAAATCCTAACCCCAAACCCCTAAAGACTAACCCCTAAACCCTAAACCCGGTTCCCAGGTTCGGGACTAGAGTTTGAAACGCGGTCACTGGAGCCATTCGGGTTGGTGTTTAGGGCTTAGGGTCTAGGGCTTAGGCCTTTGGGTTTAGGGTTGAGGAGTGGAGTCTCAGGGCATTCAAGGTTTATGTAGGGGTTAAAAATTAATTCCCTTTTAGACTGTTCTTTCTGTTGCTTATTTTTCTGAGGGATCTACAGAATAGTATTGTTGCTTAGCCCCAAAGGGAGTTGCATTATACTTGGAAGCCATACGTGAAATGAGGTCCATATTCGGTTCTTGTGTAACTATGCAAATATGTATGTCTCTTTTTAGAGATAGGGTTTAGGGTTTAGGGTTTCCGGTATATTCGTGAGCTTTTCCGGTTTGCGTACTCGTACGATCGGTTTTGAACAGAAGATTCCTGAAATCGAGGGCTGCCGGGCTCCCTCGGCACGTGACTGCGATCCTAAGCGATCCTAACCCCTAAACCCCTAAACCCTAAACCCTAAACCCCTAAACCCTAAACCCCTAAAGCCTAAACCCCAAAACCCCTAAACGCTAAACCCTAAACCCCTAAACCCCTAAACCCTAAACCTCCACGAGACTTCCCGTAGAATGCCGTCGAGTGCGCGGATGGCTCGGGGGAATCGCGTCGCTCACAAACCCTGAACCTGACACCTGTTAGAATTTATGTAGGGTTTAGGGTTTAGGGTTAGGGTTTAGGGTTTCGGGTTTAGGGTTTGGAGTTTGGGGTTGGGGTTTAGGGTTTAGGGTTTAGGGTTTAGAGTTTAGGATTAGGGTTTAGGGTTGAGAGCTGAGCCTTTGCACCTGGAGCGCTAGCCGCCCCTGCCCAAAATCCCTGAACCTTATGTAAACCACTAACCCTACACCCTTAGCCTTCAAAGCCCCGAGCCCGAAGCAAATGCTTTGCCCGCAATATAGGGCTCGGAGTGTTCATTTGGGGTCTACCTTAACCTACCAAAACCTACTTTTTTGCAGGGTCCCTATAAATTCAATATTATGGTTTATAATAAGAACCTACAAAAAAGTAGGATTTGGTAGTTTAAGGTAGGGTTAGGGTTTAGGGTAGCTAGTAAATTTGTTAAGCTCATTTCTTTTGGCCTGCTTTATAGAGTTCTGGTGAAATATACCTCAGACGCCCATTGAAATATCACATGCAGGGCGATATGTTTAACCCTTGACCACTAGATCCTTATGGTATACAGCATTATACCTTGCCAACCTGCTCTAATCATAAAGTCCAGATTTTCACGCGCTTAAACACTAAACCCTTAAGCTATTCCCTGGACCCGAAAACCCTAACCCCTGGACCACTAAACCCTAAACCCTGAACCCTAAACCCTATCAACTTATCAACTCCTCAAGGAACCCCCAGAGAATCCGCAGAGATCCCTAAAAGGAACCCTTGGGGAACCCTTACCCAAAGGGACTATACATATTGGGGTTTATTATTTCGGGTTTATGGAATCAGGTCCCAAAAGACCATCCCTGTTATGGTCTTGGGGACATAACTCCATAGTAGCAGTATGTTTGTATAAAGGTATATGTGTGTGTGTATATATATATATATGAACCCTCTCAGTTAACGGAATACTCAGGCCCTAAACCTAAACCCCTAAACCCCAAACTCTGAAGCCCTCAACCCAAAATCCTAAACCCGGGACCTTTTGAGCCTTGGTTTCAGGGTGGAGGACGCAGACCCGAGTCACAGACCAGACTGGGCAAGCCCTATAACAGGGGTTTAGTGTCTAGGGTTTAGGGTCTTTTTTTTTTTTTGGGGTTCCTTTAATAGATAGTATTAGGGAGAACCCTGGAAAGGGGCCCTTCTTAACCCTACTTCTAGCGCTTAAACGGGACCTTAGTCCCCAAGGGTCCCCCTAATCCCAACATTTAAGGGATGATTTAAAGGATCCTGTGTCCAGGGTTTAGGGTTAGAACCCCCCCAGGGCTTCTGGAATCTATGGGTTTGGGGTCTCTTTTGTGTGTAGAGGGCTTAGAGTAGCAACTGAGCTGTTGGATGTATATTGTCCTGCCGTTTCCAAGACATTGACGTTTTTGAGGGTCAGGGACCTCGCAACCCTAAACCCTAAACCCTAAACCAGTAACTAGGAGTGATATATCGAGGCATCGCGGCCCCTATAGTGAGAGTCGTAGACAAAGTGTTATCTAAGGTCCAATTTTCAGGGATCTGTTCAGGTGTGGTGTGTAATGCTTCAGGTTTGGGGATTAGGGTTTAGGGGGGGTATTCCGGGCCTGGTAGATTTACACTTCTTTTGTTTTGCGATTTCGAGAGTTATTGGGCTTGCCAGAAAGTGTTCCTGCGGGTGTGATGGGGCCGAGAAAGAGACGTGAGCCAGCTGCCTGCGCTTTAGAGTTCAACATATCATTCAGGGTCGGAATAGTTCGTAATGATGCCCCCTTGTAGGAACCCTGGAAATATTTCTTTTCAAGGAACCCCCAAACCCTAAACCCTGACAGGAACCCTTAAAGAAGCCCTTGTGGCCTTTGAGTCCCTATGTATGTATACATATATATACACACACACCTACACATCAGCTTGAGTGTGCCTTGAGTGGTTTAAAGGGTTCAGGTTTTGGGGCAGGGATGCAGGGGCTATAGTTTTGTCTGCTGAGCAGGGTTTACTTCCACGGTGTAGGGTGAGGGCTTGAAGACATTTAAAGGTTAGCTGGGCCCCAGTTGGAAGCCACCGCAGTTTTTCAAGGCCTGTCTAGCCCATCGAGCAGCATCCCCAGAAATCCAGAGCCACTATCCACGGTCCATTCCAAAACATTTCTCTACCTAAACCGCGAGCCCCGAATCAGCGCTAAACCCTGCAAGCGGCTAAGCCCTAAACTTCCCGAGCCCTACAAACCCTGAGACCTAATCCAAGGACCCCAAGCTCAGAGCACTCGACGGCCCGAACTTGCACACCCTCACGTAAGGCATCATGCGACTTATTGAAAAACGTTATTAAATAAGGTAGCCATAGTATATTATGTGTTATTTTACATCTCATAACTCAAGCCTTAAACCTTAAACCCCGAACCCTTAATAACAAGAGGTACTTATGTGAAACGTCATTTCAAGTTACTTGTAACTTTCCTTACCTGATATCCACCGAGCCAGGAGAAGCAAACCTTAAATCCAAAGCCCGAGGGTTCAGGGCTTTGGGGGTTAGGGTTTTGGGGGGTTTAGGGTTTAGGGTTTTGGAGGTTCCAAGTTTAGGATTTTAGGGTTTTTGGGGGTTTAGGGTTTTGGTCTTTTAGTGGTTCGGAGTTTAGGGTTTTCTGGGGGGGTTTGGGGGGTTGTGGGCTTCGGGCTTAGTGCTTTCAGCGCTTAGGCTTTCAATGGGGTTCAGGGTTTTGAGATTTAAGGGTCTAGGGTTTTGGGTTGTAGTGGTTAGGGGTTTAGGGAAGAAGCACGGGGCGTAATAAGCAGGTTGTAAGTAGGTTCGTAAGTGGGGTACTTCCAATTCTGGTACTTATAGCTTCAAACTCAAATGGCTTGCTGAGCCCTTTATACAGCCTATAATACAGCCCTTGCAGGAGCCTAGATAGTAAACCCATCAGTTTTGTGCTATAAGATAACCCTGGCAAGACGGAAAGTGGAACCCGAGGACTTTGTTCACCCTTCCTAAACCTCAACCCCAAACCCTAAGCACTAAGCCCTAGACCGCATACTTCAATTAAACCCGAAGCCCTATACCCCAAGCCCTGCACTCTAAACGTCAAGCTCTAAACCGCGCATTTTTGGGCTCTTAGACTCAGAATGTAAAAGTGGCACGAAGTGCTCCGACCGGTTTACCACCGGCCCCCTGGCGCGAATTTATGAGAAGCGTTCAGGGTTTAGGGGTTCAGGGTTTAGAGGTTCAGGGTTTAGGGTTCAGGGTTTAGGGGTTGAGGGTTCATGGTTTAGGGTTTAGGAATTAGGGTTTAGGGTTTGAGGGTTTAGGGGTTTAGGGGTTGAGGGTTTAGGATTTAGGGTTCAGGGGTTGAGGGTTTAGAATTTAGGGTTCAGGGGTTGAGGTTTTAGGGTTTAGGGGTTGAGGGGTTGAGGGTTTAGGGGTTGAGGGTTTAGGGGTTTAGGGGTTGAGGGCTTAGGGTTTTAGGGNNGGGGGGGGGGGGGTTGATAAGGCTCAGGCTGAAAGCTCTAATATAAGTGTATAGAAAAGCTCAATCTATGTTTGAGAGTGCTTTGAGGTTCATGGGGTTTTTGTGAGCCTGTTGTCAGGATTCATGAGCTGTCCTTTGGGATGTTCTGAGTTTTGGCACAGGTTTTGGGTTGTTCGAGAGGGTTGCACTACTCA